CTTTTGGGGATATATTTAGGGAGTTAATTGAGGTTTCTTGGAAACCGATTTACTCCTTGCCCCAGTATACAAGGAACTTCTTTTGTACCAACGCCTGAAATGTCTAACTGACGCCATTCTCCTTGCCAGCTTCTCAAGCCTCCAGATGTGTTAATCTGTGCCTGTATACTTTAAATTTTCAAGGCAATCTGGAAAGGGCTCAGTTTTACATATGCTTGGGTAAGTTAATTATAGTTTACGAGTACCTAGAATGTTGACTGTAAAGTAGTCACTGCTGTAGAGAAATCCATATCGGCTGTGTGATCTCACTTAGTTCTACCATTCTTGATCGCTAGAGTAGCGGATTCGAACGTAGATCTTCCACTGTACAGACTAAATAGCTTATGCCCTCAATAAACCACCCATACTGATAAACATTTAATGCCCTTACAATTGTGTACGTTTTAAACTACTTACAGAATCGGTACATACGAGATGGGGACAGAATTGGGTCAGGGCTGTGTTAATCAAAGTATGTGTGTGCTTGACCCAGATCAATGAGTGCTGGGGCGGTTGGGAAAACTAGTGAATGCAGGTACTGACAGTAAATATTGGTGTTTGTGTGCAGAGTGAGGGGGATAGGGGGAGATGATATATGTGTTAGACCACTTTATCTATCTCCACTGCATATCTGACTTGCCTTCTCTTGCACTAAACAGACAGATAAATATAGGAGACTTATGTCTTTTGGTCTGGAGAGGCAATCTGAGGAATGAAACAGGAGAGCAGGGAGGAGTCAGCAGATGGGAGTTGATGACTATGCTTGCTCTGTCTTTCCTGTCAAGATGTTACCCTCTTGATGATGACTAATGTTGAGTTATTTTCTTGACAGGATGTATATTTTCTGAAGAGCTGGCAGAAGATTCACAGTCTCAACAACATCCACTCACCAATCCAACCACCAGAACCAACTGTTTACCCACCAGCTAACACCTGTGAAGGTTCCTGACATCTCCAAAAATGGGGGAGATTGTGCCTCAAACAGCTACCAGTGCCAGAGTAATGTGGCTCTAAGACATTGTGTGTCCTTACTGGTGATATAGACATGCTAGATACCAGTACAGTTGCTGTACAGTGAAGTACTCTTGCTACTTGATCCAGTGGAGCAGAATTCCCAGAGTCAAAGACAGTCAAATCATCCGGAGCTGAGGGAGGCATCATAGACAGAGATAAGAGAAGATAAGTCTAATGCTTCGCATGATGTTGTGTTCCTCACAGCTCCTGGTTCCCATGATGACATATAGTCACCTCCAGGACCGGCTGTCTGCCTAGTTTCCTTAGGATCTAGACATTAGTGCTGAAATTCTTTCACTGATAGCTGGAATTCACTTCAATTGTTTTTGTACAGATATTATACTAAATACATGCATTCATTTTCATGGCTGACTTAGGTTTCTCTATGTCACCTTCTTAAGTGTTTAGCAGTTGTATGTGTATGTATCTTCATTATATGTGTTAACATGGTTATGATAATGAATTATCATAACCTGGGGGCTTTCTTTAGTAAGTAGTGGGGGTGTCCAGCCAAGTGTGCCTAGAAATATTGTATTTATATACTGATATATTTTGTAGTGCCAATACTTGAGTTGCCCTACTCCAGAGATAAGTTGATCGTATATTGGCCACGGGGAATCCCTTAGACCAATACGAGCCAAACGACTCAACAAAATTATCTCTGAGTGCTGCTGGTTCTGAAGGAGAAATCCTTACCTTAGGCACGCGACAGGAGTGATATGTGACAGCGTTTGTGGATCAGGCGTTGCGAACCCGCATCGTAATGTCGAGCTGCCTGGCTCCACCCAGGCCGTCTTTAATACTGATCCATGGGCTGACCGTCAGTAGTGATAGCGGATCCAGCCAGCCTGTCAGACCTTTAATTTCCACCGATGCCCGCGTCTCCCGGAACGATAGTAGGGTGATTCCGCGCACAGTGGACCACTGTTATGATACACTGCCTTCACACCGAACTTGCATGAACTCTCTGGATCATACTCATTGAATCACCGAGTAATGTGCGAACTTTTGCGTCACTGCCATTACCTCCAGTGTCATGCTGCTGGTTGTCATGGAGAAGGCGCCGTTGGCTTCTTTGAATGTTATGCCCGCTGATGAGCTTCGTTGCTGGCGTGTAACGGATCTTTATATACACACATACACACAAATATATAATTGTGTTTGTGTGTGTGTATACACATATACATATAAAAAAGTAAAGGACGCTTTTAGGCGTATTGGGTATATAGGACTAGACGTATATTTTATAGACTGACGGCACTTAGTGGATGATGTGGTCAATATCACGCCAGCCGTTTTTACTTCCCAGGACTGTACCCGGTACCCACTCAAGGATGGGTCGACATATATATAAATATATATGTGTATATATGTGTGTGTGTAATAGTGACTTGCTTTATTTAACGAGAATTGACATTTTTTTCCCCATTCTTCTTCTTCTTCTTCTTCTTCACTTCCTCTTTTATCGCTGTGGGTGTCGAGTGAGATATATGGTTCTGTTTCTAGCTCTTCTGGCTGCCTCGACCATAGGCACATCGTGCTGTTGTAGAGTCTCTCTGATGTTATCCTTCCATATTGTTCTTGGTCTACCCCGTGCTCTACGTCCTTCTTCTCTTTCCATGTATGCTTTGTATGGTGTGGTGTCACAAGGCATTCTCTCTAAGTGGGCAAACCATTTCACTTGCTGTCTTTGTATGTAATCCAGAATTGGCTCTGTGCCGACTTGTTCTCTTATGATCTCATTCCTGATCCTATCTCTTATGGTCACTCCTACAGCCCTTCTCAGACATCTCATTTCCGTTGTTACTAATTTTTTTTCCCATTGCAATATCATTTTTATTCGCTTCGTTTGTTACACTGCTGTGGCGACTTCAAGTGAGCTCAATTAATGTCACGGAGCAATAACTTTGCTCTCATAAATACAGTTATTGTTGAAGTCAATACAAGTTTTTTGTTTAATTTTAAATTTTTTGAGTAGAGAGAAAACTCTTTCTACAGCTGCAGTAAATGAGGTGATGCTAAAAGATACTAATGAAAAGCGATTCCTGTGAGTTCAAATGTTTTTTTCTGAAATTGTAAACATGTTCTTCTATATCGAGGCTAAGAAATTGCACGACCAATGGCATATCTGACGTCAGTTTTCTTTCAGTAACACTTTCTAAATCCAGCGTACAATGCTAAGATTTAAAATATTGACGCAAAATATCTAAAAACACGGGTGTGGTAGAGTTTTATACGACAAGAGTCAAATAGTACCAAATTCGTACGAAACCACCAACTTCGGCAGCCTTGGTCCGCCGTCAGCGAGCGATGTAAAAACTACAACTGGATACCGAATAAACAAAACTAAACATCTCTACCGTTTTACGTGTACACTCACACGCAGCAGACACAAGGTTGCCATATTGGCATTTTTTATGCCAGATTCCACAAATTTGGCATATTTGAAATCGAACTGGCATAAGATAATGAACTGGCATATTTTGGCATAACTGGATTTTTCCTGGCAATGTAGACCTACAGTTAACATCTTGGCTTTCCTCCGACTAACGGTCGGCAAAGATGGTGGCCGCAAAATATCCTTTCGAGCCACAGTCGCGTGACTTAATTTGCGGTTCTCCGGCGGTTTTCTGGCGACTATCGCCACCGCCGAATATCCCCCACACCGCTCACGCGGCGTGGAATGGGGCTAAACCAGATGGCTAGGGCCAACGGGCAGCAGCCGCGGTGAGCTCGTGACCTCTAGTGCGCAATTTACACGCGACTGTGGCTCGAAAGGATATTTTGCGGCCGCCATCTTTGCCGACCGTTAGTCGGAGGATAGCCAACATCCTTATTCCAGTTTCACTTTGTTGTGATGTCCTGGTACGGACTAATGGAGATTCGCGCCATTTCTTATTGTAGTTGTCTTTCTAAATGGACCGTGACTTCGATAAACCAAGGCCCTCTGTATTTTATGTTAACCTACTAGAATAAATGCTGGATATAAAACCAAAAACCCACCACTGATATCAAGTGATTCAGACTGTTCAGAAACTACTTGAGGATAGAAAATAGAGAGGATATAGGCCTAGTTCTTTCTGTGATAGATTTTATTACTTCTACCAACGGCCACGTCATCCCAAAAAATGGAAAGCATCTTATGACATTGCAAGTATAATAGTAATTTGAATAAAACATGCCCACGGCTCAAAAGATCATCAGACGAATCAGAGGCAGCATATTGTAAACTGCGTCAGTGCACTGTTGCACCAAGAATTAGTAGCATATCAAATCAGGAAAAATCCGAAAAACACAGGATGAAAACTCCGTCAAAAAGCCAGTCACAGCTTATTACAACAATGACTCCTAGGCAAAGTCATGATAAAGTTAAAGGCAGCAGAATTGCAACTTGCTGAATACATGACCTGCCATTGTGCAATACGCACAAATGATCATCTAAGTGAAATCATGAGAGCGTATGGTCGGGGGAGTACATTAGAGCACATACAGTTGCATAGAACTAAATGTTCATGCCTAATTTAAAAAAAAAATGATATCGCCTGCATTTAAGGATGACCTTATTAATGATTTTCGGAACAAGAAATATGCCATCATTATAGATGAGTTGTAAAGACTTAATCCCATCTGAGAAAATGCTTAAAGATTTTACATTCAAAAAGGCTTACGCTGTATCTTCCACTGGTTGCAGTGAGGATGACAGTGAAGAATTCAATCTAAAGCTTTTGATGTGAAGTGAGTACGTTACACTTTATTTGGCATTTTCTGGCATATTTTGGGTAATGGTTTGGCATAAAATGAAATTTTTTTATCTGGCAACCCTGACTGCAGACATCTGTGACATCATAGCAGGGCAGACACAACACCACAACACATGTCTGGTCCTTTCTACTCTAGGAGAATTCAAAATTACGGTTTTTTAGACGTATCAACGACTCATTCTGAAAATGTCTGCGTTTATTTACGGCTTTCTCTTGTTGATAGTAAACGGTTACCTTGTGTTTGGGATCAAGGATGGACTGTATGATACAGAGGTGGACGATGTCCTGCCGTTGAATAACGAGTCGTTTCAGGCCATGGTTGTTAAAGGCAAGCCTGATATTGTTTGGGTTGTGGAGTTTTACAATAGTTGGTGTGGACACTGTATTCATTTCGCTCCTACGTGGAAAGAAGTGGCTACATATTTTAAAGGTAAGCTATGATTATATGATAGTGATACTATCAGTATCTATAACTGAAGCTTATATTTATATAGTATAATATACTAACTATATACTTATATAATTTCTTCTTCGCGTTAACCTGCTGTAAACTCCGGTGAAAAGTTCTGGTTGTTTGTCTACCTCTGGAGTTTAGTCTTGTTCCAGAACCTGAGTGTTGCGTGTACATCGGTTTCACACGTCTGACTTAACTATGCAGATTGTTAATTTCTCATTAAGTATGACTATTCAGATGCACTCCAACTTCAAAGGAAGCTTCTGGCTATCTTCCGAATAACGGTCCCAAATCATGAGGCCGAAAATGTGCCCTAACAGGGCCTCAGTCAGATGTAAATTGCGGACTTCTGGCGACTAAAATCACAGACTTCCGGCGATTACAGCCACTGCCGAGAGTATCACCCACGGCGCTACGCGCGGCATGGATTGGGGCTAAACTAGATGGCTGGGACTCATGGACAGCAGCTACCGCATCTCCTGCAGCTTCCTTTATTTTATTTGCTAGTGAGTCCCAGCCATCTAGTTTAGCCCCTCCACGCCATGTAGCGGCGTGGGAGATAAACCCTTGGCGGTGGCGGAAGTCCACAGTATACATGCGACTGAGGCCCTGTTAGGGTATATTTTTGGCCTCGATAATTTGGGACCGTTATAGCCAAGCTTCCAGTTAGGTGACTCCTACGACATGCTTGTTGGGAAAGCAGTGGGTCTATTCTTGTTTTCTCCACATGGGGCCCTGAACCCACACAAGGAGCTTATATAAGAATAGTGATTTAATTTTTGGATTTTTCTACGCTAATGGAGCTGGATAGAGATTAAAACACCCAATCCAGCGAAACCTCAATAAAGCCTGTAGGTCAATTCTAAGCAAAGCTATTAACACTTTAGTGGCAGATCCTACCATAGAAATTACAGCATAAATTATAGTGGAATATGACAGAAGAGGGATGCTGAGTTATGTCCCAGAAAAGAAAAGGTTTAAATGACTAAATATTTGCATTTTATGGCAATAACTATTTTGTTTCTGAATTCATATCCTTACAATCAGGACAGTGAGGCCGCCAGTATACAACATACCATAACTCTTGACCCATTAGGGTCGTGGAGGTGTATTGATGGAAGCACTAGCAGATAAATGGAAGTCGCCATGGCGGAGTGGTTAGACGCTCACCTGTGTATCAGAAGGTTGTGGGTTCACTCCCTGGCGGAGCCAGACTTTTCAAAAATGACCTTGGCTCCTAGGTCTACCCAGCCTTCAGTGGGAACTGGATGCAGTCCCAGGAAGTAAAGGCGGCCGACGTGATACTGACCACATCAAATATTCTGTGCCGATTGGTCTATAAAATATAGGTCTAGCCCTATTTGCCGTATACACCTAAAGGGGTGAAAAAGGGTTCTTAACTTACTTTAACTTACTAGCACATAAATCCTGCCATCTTTCTCTGCCTTCTGCTTGACGAATAAGTGTATGATAACTTATTCCTGTCCATTTCTTGATGTTGTCATTCCAGGTTCTTCTTTGCCCTCCTCTTCTTTGACTACCCCCAATGTCTGTATGTATAGGGATGCTAGTGAAGTTTATATATTGGTTATTACTTATGAAACCCAAATATTTACTTTCTATAGTTCAATTGTATATAATCATAATAAGAATTAAAAACATCTGACTGAAACAATTTCAGCCGCAGAAAAACACATTTTGCAACCTGTACTTGTGCTTTTAACATTGGTATCCATGATAAGTCACATACAAAATCGTCGGAAAATGACGCTTGCCATTAAATTTGACAGTTTTGCACCTAAATGTATATGCAAAGACTTGTGAACAGACAAAAACATTAGAGTAACCTACGTGTCCAGCCACTCCTTCACTGCAACCCCTCTGTATTTTCAGTCTATAAAATGTCCCCATTTATGAGATGAACCCTGTTTTTTATTTTAATCGCATTCCGTGGATAAGACAAAAGTGAAAATAAATTTGAGAAAATATATTGTCTTTTACACGGCAAAAATATGACACCTATATGCTGAAATCTGTTTAAAATTTGCCCAAATAACCATTAAAGAGTTGCGATCTGTTGACTAAAAAGTCAGAGATTTGAATCTCAGTTAAGGCAAATTTTGAAAGGTGATCTATGCTCCTCGATGCATAGATGTTGGGGCTCCATTTTGGGGAAGGTAAAAAGAATAAATCCACTCCTTTCCTCAGACAGGTGTGTCATAAATGGCGACTAATTAGTAGCAGGGAGCAACCAACGGCACAGAAATAAGCCAGTAAAACAGATGTACACACAAAACTGAGACCCTGGCACACAGCCAAAGTCCAAATGGATGAACAGCCAGGACTTTACTCTGGCGCTTTCAGCTGGGGAACAAAGAAGGAGAGAAGAAAGACTAAAGTGCAGAAGGGAATGAACAGCCAGGACTTTACTCTGGAGTTTACAGCTGGTGAACAAAGAAGGAGAGAAGCAAGACTAAAGTGCAGAAAGGGATGAACAGCCAGAACTTTACTCTGGAGCTTTTAGCTGGGGAACAAAGAAGGAGAGAAGCAAGACTAAAGTGCAGAAAGGAATGAACAGCCGGAACTGTCCGCTGCAGTTTGCAACCGATTACCGTGAATACTAAGATAGAGTAATGGCAATAACAAATCTCAGGGCATGCCTAGCAGTTATGTCCCCTGTGAAAGAAATCAAGCGTGACAAGAGATTATTGCCATGGGCAGAGTCTCGTGAAATGATCTAAGGCAACATCTGGTTCGGAGCTCGCCACAAAAAGCCTTAGAGATAGTGTTAGCAATAAAACTATTCCTGTATTGATCCCAACGATGTTCACAGGGAGACAAGATAAGCCTAGACAGGAGTGCTCCCACCCACACACACACACATTTTAGGGGGAAAATGTGAGGGAGGGGCAAGGGACCAAAGCCTTGTTTAAGTGATTAATAATAATGAATGGCCATTCTTCACACGTTCACCAACCATAAACTCTGGTGATTTTAGTCTTGTCTCGGAACTTGAGTTTTGCCTGCACATTCATTTCCCAAATCTGGCTTATTTGTCTGCAGACTGTTGGTTCCTTGCCTCTCAGGCAGAGCACTCTGACTTCTAAAGAAAAAAATACATAATTAATTGACTTTTATGACATGTTTGTTGGTCCCCCACCCCTCACAGTGGAGCCCCAAAGCCCACAGAGGGAGTTGCCATTGCTAAATTCTTTATCTGCTGTGTAAGCCACATTAGCTAGATGCTCGCCCATTGGCTAGAAGACCTTGGGTTTCAGTACACATCGATCTGTATTTGCTTTTCAGAAATTCTTTCTCTCCAAGTTTGGGACAAAAAAGAAAATAAATCCACTGCCCCTGTAACAAACCTGTTCTAAATATCAACTTATTAGGTATGTTTCCTTCACAGTCAGAGTATAAGTGCCTGAGAGGAGAGGAACCAGCAGAACACATACAAAAAAGATCTGTAAAACAGATCTGCATACAAAACTAAAGTTCTGGAATGAGACCGGAGTCCAGAAACGGGCTAACAACCAGAACTTTTGTGTGCCTTAGTTTACAGCCGTTGAGTATAAAGAAAAAGAGGAACCTCCAAAGGGATGCAGAGGCGCTGACCCAAGCACATGACCAAGATCAGGACCTATTAGCACCTCTCCGCTGTTATCCTACAAGCAGATTCCCAGTCAGTAAGTCGCCTGGCCGACATAGATAGGATCAAGGTTTCCTGCAGAGTCAGAATGTATCCTCATAAGAGGCGAGGGACAAACAGGTGAGCCGGATCTGTAAAATGGATGTGGACACGACACTCAAGCCTTGGTGCAAGATCAAAGTCCAGCAGGGGATGAACCTCTAAAACTTTCAGCCAGAGTCTACAACAAGCAAACTCAGAGAAAAAGAAGAGCTCCCTCGATGGGGCCTAAACCTTTAACGAACACACATCAGGTTGTCTACCCTTTGTCATCGCATGCAGCTCATCCCGTGTCCTCTCCATATTTTTAAGTCTCTTTCTCTTTCTTCATTTCCCTTAAAAGGGCAGTGTTGGCACTTTTCTAGCTAGGCATTTTTATCTGCGCTTTGGACCAAACAATCTGATTTCGGCAAATCCTTACCTCTTTACGACATGCCTTTTAGGGATCTGTTGGTCTATTCTGTTCTCTCTCTCTCTCTCTCTCTCTCTCTCTCTCTCTCTCTCTCTCTCTCTCTCTCTCTCTCTCTCTCTCTCTCTCTCTCTCTCTCTCTGTCACGAATTGAGAGGAAGCATCATTCTCAAATTCACTTCTCTGTGTTTTTTTTTTTTTTTTTGAGTGTGTCTTTTTTTCCTTGACCCTGTGGTTCCAGTCCAAACACATTGAAGTTTATATAACATTATATTGTTACGAGCTGTTCTCTGTGCATGTCATTAGATTTCTGTACTGGAGTATAGAATAGCAAACTGAATTATTGATGTATTGCAAGAACATCCACAATTCACAGCTTTATTGATTCACTGCTGATGTATTGTTTATTTACCCGGCTCCACAGCAAGCATAATGAGATTCTTTTAAGTGATAAACCTGTATTATGCTTGTTGTATGTGTCATTTATCCGGCTGTAAATATTTCTATTGATTATTAGCATATTTGTGTTTGTCTGTTCTTAGATACACAACCAGCATAGTTCTTGCGCAACAGTGGCTTGTAAAGGCCATAGCAGACTATGGAGCTTTAGATTATTTAGCTTTAAAACTATGTCACATATTTTCCAATCATACGTTCATAGGTTCCTAACTAAAAGCCCAATGAACGCATGATGCGCCAATTTTATGACTCTCTTTATTACCCCCTGGGCTTGTTATGCTAACCCCCCTGGGACTCATTGAGTTAAGAAAGGTGAGCGAACATTAAATGGGATGAATTCAAGAAATGCAAAGGAAAAAAGAGAATTGTCTGCTTGACTAGTAGTGTCAACAGTTATAAAATTATGAAAAGGGGACAATTTATTGAGCACATCATAAGGATAAGCAAACAGAGAATCGCTAAGCAGGCACTGAAATGGGAAACAATTGGATTGAGGAGTCGAGGATTTTAAAAAAAAACTGTTGAGAGAGGCTAAAGATGTTTGTCTGGATGCCATCTTTAATGTCAAAAGGATTATTCAGGATATAAGGCTAATTTTTTTTTAGCCTGTCTTATGAATCATCTGGCAGACGATCTAAACTAAGTCTTGAATTTGAGGGCTTAGCTTATATTTACGAGTATCCTAAGAAATATTGTGAGGGTTTATTTTTTAGTTGGATCTTATTTCAGGGGTAAACACAGTATGTCTTCTTCTTCTTTGCATTCGCTGGCTGTAAACTTCGGCAGAAGGTTTTGGTTGTTTGTCCACTCCTGGGCTCTAGTCTGGTTCCAGAAATTGACTGTTATGTGCACACCCGTTTCACATGTCTAACTCATTTGCATGCAGACTGTTAGTTCCTCACCTTTCAGGCAGATCACGACCGGATCCAGCTGACAGGTCATGCTGCTGATGACACCGGGTCGGGTTAACGACAGTGGCAAGATAAGACAACTTAAATTTTAACTTCCAAGTATACTACATGCCTTCTTTAATTCAACAATTTTAGTTGACTTTTCTTGATTATTGCCGCTGCACCCGTAGCGCACGCTCACGGCACCCCGGGGTGCCTCGGCACCCAGTTTATGAACCGCTGCGTTAGCGCACCGTTAGCCTGACCCGGTGACGTCAGCAGAATGGCCCGTCAGCTGGAGCCTGTCATGTGCAGATGCACTCTGACTTTAAAGGAAGCTCTCAATTAGTCGACTATTACAACATGCTTTTGGGTAGGCAGTGGGTCTGTTCTTGTTTTCCCCACAGTGGGTCTCTGGAACCCACACAGGGAACACGGTATGTGAACACCCAACATTGTGTATCAGCCATGAGATATTTTTAGCTTTTTTGGTAATGTACTATTTACAGACTGGCAAGACCTTGTTGTCATTGCTGCAATTGATTGCACCCAGCCAGCGAATCTGGAGACTTGCAGGCAACATGATGTCAGTTCATACCCCACACTGAAGGTGCGTCTAGAATTTTGTGATGTTGATGATCCTAGTGTGCATGTTTTTTTTTTAAATCTTGGGATATTGATGATGGTAGTATCCTTGTTTTTTCCCCCCAGTTATTGTGATATTGATGATACTAGTATACATGTCTGTTTTGTATTTTGTGATGTTGATGATACTAGAATGCATGACTGTTTTTATATCTTGTGATGTTGTTAATACATGAATTCACGTGTGTTACTTGTTGTGTGCACTAGTGTACATGTTTTTTTTTTTTTTTATGTGCATGACTCATATCTTGTGATGTTGTTAATACATGAATTCCCGTTGGTTATTTGTCTCACATTTCAGGCAGATCATGACCGGATACCAGCTGCACAGGTTTTTTATGCTGACGTTGACATTTTAACTTTTTTAAGTATCAACATGCTTTCATTAATAATTTCAACATTTTTAGTTGAACTTTTCTTGATTATTGTGATGCTGCACCCTTGGCATACTAAATTTGTTCACGATGCCCAGATGTGCCTCGGCACCCTTGTTATGTTGATGTTATTTATATGCATGTCTTTTTTAGAAATCTTTTGATGTTAATGATTATGCCCTATTTTTAGGAATCTTGTGATGTTATGATACACGGCCCATGTCAGCTGTTATAGCTTGTCGTTGATGCTAGATGCATGTCTCTGTTATATCTTGTGATGTTGATGATACTAGCTCTCATTTATCTTGTCCACTCTACTACAACATGTCTGATGTTATATCTTTTGGGTAGGCATGGGTCTGTTACTTGTTTTCCCCACAGTTGGGGCTCTGGATACCCACACAGGGAACACTTGTGATGTTGATGATACTGGTATGCATTGTGCTTTTATCAGCCATGAGTTATGATTAGTATACATGCTTTTTGGTTAATTGTGACTTAATGATACAGACTGGCAAGTCCTGCTGTTATATCTGCTGCAATTGATTGCACCCAGCCAGCTGTTATATCTGGAGACTTGCAGGCAACTAGATGCATGTCTGCAGTTCATATCTTGTGATGTTGATACATGCAGAGGTGCTGTCTAGAATTTTGTGATGTTGATGACCTAGTGTGCATGTCTTTTTTTTATAAATCTTGGGATGTTGATGATGCTAGTATCCTGCTGTTTCTCTTGTGATGTTGATGATACTAATATGCCCATTTATATCTTGTGATATTGATGATACTAATATACATGTCTGCTTTATGTATTTTGTGATGTGTGATGATACTTGTGAATGCATGACTGCTTTATATATCTTGTGCATGTTGTTTTATATCATGAATTCATGATGTAGTTACATTCTGCTGTTATATCTTGTGATGTTGATACTAATGATACTGCTGTTTACTTGTGATGTTGATTACTTATAGTCTTGTTATATTTGTGATGATGACCTAGTATGCATGTCTGCTGTTATATCTTGTGATGTTGATGATACTAGTATACATGTCTGCTGTTATATCTTGTGATGTTGATGATACTAGTATACATGTCTGCTGTTATATCTTGTGATGTTGATGATACTAGTATACATGTCTGCTGTTATATCTTGTGATGTTGATGATACTAGTATACATGTCTGATGTTATATCTTGTGATGTTGATGATACTAGTACATGTTGCTGTTATATCTTGTGATGTTGATGATACTAGTATACATGTCTGCTGTGTGATGTTAATGATACTAATATATATGTCTGCTGTTATATCTTGTGATGTTGATGATACTAATATACATGTCTGCTGTTATATCTTGTGATGTTGATGATACTAGTATTCATGTATGTCTAAGATTTTTGTGACATTGATGATATTATTATGCATGTATGACTGGTATTTTGTGATGTTAATTATGCTAGTACGCATGTTTATCTAGATGTTTGTGCTAACCCATTTCTTATGTTTCAACAGATATTTCCCCCTGCCAGTGTTCAAGGGGGTAAAATACAAACACTCCATTCAAATGACAAGGAAAGTATTAAAAAGTGGATACTTGATTTCATGGTGAAAAATGCTCCTATCTCTTGGCCTCACCTTCAGCCTTTGGAGTAAGTTTTATGGTTTGAACAAATGTGTGCTGTTTCTTCTTCTACTGTTCTATAATTTAGGCAAAGGTAGACCTCACTGGATGCAGATTGAAGATGCATTGGCTGTGAAAGGGCTGCAGAGTTGGCTAGAGAAAGAAAGACTTGTAGGCGTGACGTGACAAGAAACATTATCTTAAGGTGTTACCCCATTTGATTATTGATTTCTTCTTTGTATTTATGGCTGTAAGCACCGGCTGAAAGTTTTGATTGTTTATCTACTTCAGGACTTTGGTCTTATTTTCAGAACTTGGACTTTGCATGTACATCCATTTCTCAGATTTGACTTATTTATATATATATAGTATTGGTTTGTCACCTCTCAGGCAGATGCACTCCGACTTCAAAGGATATACCTGTAATACTTTTGCGACATGCTTGTTAGGGGGCAGCGGCTCTGTTTCCCCCCCCCCCCCCCCCCCCCCCCTGAACCCACATGGGGAGGGTTATTGATTAAATAATCTACAAGATAGTTTACCATGTAGACAAGTCTCCTACCACCATTTTGTCAGATCAATTTTTCACTCCAAATTCAGTCAACACTTGATATGACATCACATCTTCCATAAAGCATTCATTCATATAATATAAATATCATTAGCACTGCTGCTGTTATAGCACACAAGCAATCTGCTTGTTCTTTCTCCTGTACTCCTGCATATCCTGAACAGTATACCTATCTAAGTCCATGTAATGATATGCTGATGCGTGGCATCCATGTGCTGTTTATGGGACAAAAGTGCACTACTTTAAATGGCTTCTGGGATTATAAAATGTCTTCTCTTTTTTCCCTTACGCTATTGAAGAGTTTGAGACAGAAATAGATATTTTTTTTTTTAGCAGATTATGTTAGTTGGTCTGTATTTCTCTATGGTTGTTGTTTGTGCCATTATTCCATCTATTGCTTGGTCTTCCCTTAAGTCTATTTTCATTGTGTCTTCAGCGTGTCTCTCTGGCATTGGGGTCCTGTAATGTTATGTTATCACAGTCGGCGTCACTGCACATTGGGGATTTTCCCATTCATGCTAAATCCTACAGTTAACCAGCCACTCCAGGGTACCTCTATTGTTTCCGTGAAAAGACTGCATATATGTGCTTGACCAATCATTTCTTCCAGGTCATGCGGTCATGTTAGCGTCAGAGCTTCATCATTAACTCTCAGTGTAGTTCGTACTCAAGATAGAACATCTCTTTCTCGCACTTGGGCAGTTCTAGCATAGAGTGATTAGATGAGTTTTGTTGTTTTAGTGTGTCTGTTGTGTCTGCTTCTACCATACCGTCCTCTCCTCCATCTGTAGCTTGTAGATGATGTTGCATCATATCTCAGCATGGATGCACGGACGAAGGGGATCTGGGGATTCTAAAATTTCCATTCCTTTTTATCTGTCGCCCTTTGTTGATTGGGTTTTCTGGTTTCAGTCCCAATCTTTTGATTTATCTCAGAAACTGATGCATTTAGATAATTAACAGAAAGTAAATTTTTTTTTTTTTAAATCTAGAAACCATGAGTTGTAAATCCTTTATCGCTTGATACTGTGGATACAACCCTTTTTACCTTGATTCCGTAGTAGATACCATAAATCTAGGAAACATGTGGTTTTTCTGCCAACCCAGAGCGTGAACTCAGACCACAAGGGGTTTGTCATCTGGTTGCCACGCAACTGGTTTAACCAGCTCAGCTAGCGCGCCGGGCAACATAAAGTAACAAGTGTAAAAATACGCTCCCCCCCCTCCTTCAGGCATAATGGGCATATGGTTCTAAACTTTTATTTTATAGACCAATCGGCACTTGGTGGTTGACGAGGTCAACATCATGCTGGTCGTCTTTTATCCCAGGACTTAATCTGGTTTCCATTTTAGGGTGTGTTGACTTAGTAAAGTCATTTTTAAAAAAAAGATCCCGGCTGCTTTGGATTTGAACCCATGACCTTCGGATGTGCTGCACCTTGCCAGCTCTCTATAATGAGTATAACAAGCTTTAAATGGGTACCAGGTATTGTCCTGCGAAGTAAAGGTGGTCGGTGAAATGTTGAACACATCACCCCACCCGTTGAGTGCCATTTGGTCTGCACACAACATGAGTCTACCATCATATGCCTGGTAAGCTATAAATTTAGTGTTGAGCCAAAAACTGGCTTCACTGCACTCAGGACATTCCCGTAAGTGCTCTGTCTTTATCTTCAGCAACCAGAAAAGAGTTCCAGTTTCGACGGTGCCAGTAGCAGTTTGATTATATGTCCATTACCTTGTCTCTGAGTGTATAGTGTCGACCAGATCCTCTGGTAACTTTTGATTTTACTCTCTCCATAATGATCTATTCAGCAATAGAATATCTGTTTTAAAAAAAATGTAACATTTTATTCGTGCACACAGAAAGATCGAGGACATCTGGTTGGACAAGAAAGAAACCCATCAACATGTGCTGTTAATTTTTGAAGAGGAAGACTCTCCTGTTGGGACTGAGGTGCGGTAGCTTTTCTGTATTGTCTTCTTTGTGGTTCCCAGCCGTGAAGTTGTTGTGTATTCACCAAAACAGTGGCATGAATAATGCAGGTATTGACACAAAATCAGGGAACCATCATGCCACTGGCTGTGCATGTAGAAAATTGGGAATATAACATTTAATTCAGGAAATGTCTTGGGATGTAAAGGTGGGATGCACGGATTGATGACATCATGTGTTAAATACTGTGTGGTCTATGAAAATATGGATCTAGCAATATATACCCAATGTGCAGTTGATATTAAATGGATTAAAAAAAGATTTTTTTGGGGTAAAATGTTTGAATTAATGTCAAACAAATAAATATATGTTTCCGTATTTCATCTCCCTCTCAGTTCAGTGGTTTTCAGAGATGAAGGCTACGGGCTTCTGTAATGTCTTTGGTGTAGCCATGTCTTCTACTATTCTATACTGCATGGTTTTCATCGGAATGCCAGCCGGCCAAACCTACGATCTCTCTGCTGCACGTTGAGGGCACGTTTATGGCACATGATCAGTATTCTATGTTACCTGTCCACAGGGGCAAAGTTCTCAATCCCCAGTCTTGAATTTCTTGTACATGTGGCTGCAGAGTCTGTTGTATTAATCAATCATGCAGTCTTAATATAATGGTCTGTTTCTTGTGTGTGAGGAGGTTGATTGGGTCTTTCTGATGTTTCCTGGATGGGAAGTCTCCCAGTGGGTTCTAAAGGCTGCCTTGATCTGAGCTTTATTTTCATTCTAACTGCATCCTGTGTCTGGTTTTCCTGTATGACTTCCAATTTTTGCTAAGTAGTCTAATGCATGTATGTATTGGCTGGATCTGCACCACTGGGTGGTGAATTGATACATGACAAGGCGGATGTGGTCTGAGCCCTTTGGGAACATGTAGCGTAGTCAGAAGAGAAACTAGATTATTATGGGCGTGAGAGAATGATGCACGTGGGTGTGACCAGAGGGTTCAGCCGGCACACTACGCTCTGAGGAAAGGCAAGAGGGACATACAAACATACAACCAGACTATGATCGGCACCATTAGTATTGAAACACTCCGCTGAGGATGGGGACAGTGCATATGGGAATACCTTGAGGGCTGTAATCTCAATTTTTAGCTCAGCTAAACTCTGTATGTTATGTGTGTGTGTGTGTATTTATAAATATATCTCATTGGCACCTTTCCATCTTTTTAGACGATAGTGTTATATTGCGCTATGAGGAGACATGCATAGCGATGGCGAGTGTGACTAGCAAGGCCCGCCCGTGTCAAGAAAAGTCTTCCACATTGATAGCATGTGATTTCAGGACCATTTTTGTAAACATTTGTGTTTAATCCGTTTCTTTTCAGACGCTCAGCTCTCATCCTTTCTGCAGACATTTCTTCCTTCAGTCTCATTCCCTTCCTGATATGCCCTTTCCACACAACACAGTCCATGGCATTTTGTTCCCATGAGTTCGCCTCAATACCTGTATCATTCATGTCCTCCTCTCCATAGCACAAAGCCTATATATATATAGATATATATATATATATATATATATGAATTGAAATTTTTTTTTATGATTGTAGGTTATCATCGATGTAAGGAAGATACGCAGCGTCCTGGTGCGTAGAATGCCGAAAAGAAGTGTAGTCAAATATGGCATCAGCAAGTTTCCGAGCCTGTACACTGTCAGACCTGACTCAACCTACAACATGCTATCAGTGTAAGAAGATTATGTAATCCATGCTGTCTTTTTCTTTTGTCCTACCGCTGATACAGTGAAGTGCCTCAGAGAGGAATTAGATGTAGTTTCTTGTGTTTTGCTAATTGTGTTAATGTCAAATTGTGTTTCTGTAGCGTGTAGTTTCTTGTGTTTTGCTAATTGTGTTAATGTCAAATTGTGTTTCTGTAGCGTGTAGTTTCTTGTGTTTTGCTAATTGTGTTAATGTCAAATTGTGTTTCTGTAGCGTGTAGTTTCTTGTGTTTTGCTAATTGTGTTAATGTCAAATTGTGTTTCTGTAGCGTGTAGTTTCTTGTGTTTTGCTAATTGTGTTAATGTCAAATTGTGTTTCTGTAGCGTGTAGTTTCTTGTGTTTTGCTAATTGTGTTAATGTCAAATTGTGTTTCTGTAGCGTGTAGTTTCTTGTGTTTTGCTAATTGTGTTAATGTCAAATTGTGTTTCTGTAGCGTGTAGTTTCTTGTGTTTTGCTAATTGTGTTAATGTCAAATTGTGTTTCTGTAGCGTGTAGTTTCTTGTGTTTTGCTAATTGTGTTAATGTCAAATTGTGTTTCTGTAGCGTGTAGTTTCTTGTGTTTTGCTAATTGTGTTAATGTCAAATTGTGTTTCTGTAGCGTGTAGTTTCTTGTGTTTTGTTAATTGTGTTAATGTCAAATTGTGTTTTCTGTAGCGTGTAGTTTCTTGTGTTTTGCTAATTGTGTTAATGTCAAATTGTGTTTCTGTAGCGTGTAGTTTCTTGTGTTTTGCTAATTGTGTTAATGTCAAATTGTGTTTCTGTAGCGTGTAGTTTCTTGTGTTTTGCTAATTGTGTTAATGTCAAATTGTGTTTCTGTAGCGTGTAGTTTCTTGTGTTTTGCTAATTGTGCTAATGTCAAATTGTGTTTCTGTAGCGTCTCTTTTAATCCATTTGCCCATCTCCTTCTCAGTGCGGTACAGAATTGGAACATCTATGGGACTTTGTGTTCACTGGTGGTAAACTACAGTGGAAAGTTCTTGTTGTTCATCCACTTCTGGACTTTGGTCTTGTTTCAGAACTTGGGTTGTGCACACACCTCTGTTTTACAGATCTGGCTGATTTGAATGTAAATTGTTGCTTCCTACCCTCTCAGGCAGATGCACTCTGACTTCAAAGGAAGCACTGCTAGTTAGTTGTCTTATATGACATGCTTGTTAAGAAGGTAATGGGTCCCCAGACAACTCCTAACTGTGGCCCCAGACCCTACACATATTTGTGGGAGAGTTTGTGTGTATTTATCAGTGTTATGAAAGCAGAAACACTATTTAGTTTTTATTATTTTTTTTGCCATTAGATTCTTGTGTGAGAGGGTAAATAAAATATTTTATTGTAGTTATAAGCAATGTATTTGGTTTTGAGCAGTGCAACTGTTGCTATCCTGGTTATAAATCAGTGTTTGTTTTATCAGAATTGAGATAACCAGAGGATTCATGCTAAGTTACCATGCTGTGGATCAGAAGCATGGGCAGAGCAGAAATAATTGTAGTTATCACTTTAAGCGGAGGCTCTAGCAATGTGGATATACAGAAGGATAGACTGCATTTCATAAAAGTAAATGTAGAGGACCCAGAGAAGCCTTACTGGTGTCATTCCTAGTGCCCTGTCCGGTAAATCAGTTGCAGAATACATTAAACATACAACTTGCATCAAACCAACCCACACTGGGCTTCAGGTTATTATGCAGCCAATGTGTGGTGCTTCAAGATGTGTACAGTTAAATGTACACTTCTAGTCAAAAATGGAGGACTAGGCATGGCCGAATATTGCGCTAATGCAGTTTCCACATATGGATGGTAGTCTACGGTTTTGCTGCCTGAGTTTTCTGCTTGGTGCAGCACTGTGAGCTGTGTTTTTCTTGTGGAATGTCTTTCATTAGTGCAGCAGTTGAGTCATGGTATTCAGTATGGCTGGTAGCCAGTTTAACTGCTGCTGGTAAAATACATTATGTAATAATTGTACATGTGTGTTGCCAAATTATCGTGCCCAGCTACTTCCACCTTCAACAAACTGCATTTCTGGTGCTGACTGTTGGCTTTGGCACCTCTAGCAACTGCCATATGCATTTATTGTGTGCACATATCCAGCCGACGAGAATGCTGTGCTACCTGTTGCCAGAGAGAGCCCTACTGAAGAAATATAATGAACACAGAGCAAGAAGAAGACTGCAAAATAGGGAACGATTGCATCAGAAAAAATGTTAAAGGAATAGAAGATCAACTTATTCGACATATTAGAGGAAGCACACAGGAGATCTTTACATGAGGTAACTGGAGGAAGAGGGAACAAGTATTTGTATAATCATCATCTGCCATGCTGGTAAGAATAGGCTGTCATGTTTCACCATCCCACACGATTGCCAGAATCGTGGAATAATTTATATAGATATCTTTTGTTTCATTGATACAGTAACAATTTTTGACATTTTTTTGAGTATTTTTGTTGTTGTTGTTGGTGGAAATGCAAAACAGGTACTTTATTTTTATGAATAATTTTAGTGAAGTGTCAAGTTTACTGTTGTTGTTTTTAGCGGCACTAAGATGTTCGCAGACGATCGTGTAGCCTTTGTTCAGACAATCAAGGCTTTAGCCAACAGCCATCCTGGAGATTCTAAGAATATTATTTCATCCAATAAGAGCAGGGAGCAAAATCTTGGGAAGGAGCCTCATGATGAAATGTTACCAGCCGCAAGAAGATATAACAGGTAGGAGATGTTGTTTTGTTATTTGTATGTTACTTCTGGGGAGTTGCCAGAATGACCTTGGCTCCCAGGTCGACCCAGCCTTGAAGTGGGTCCTGGGTGCAGTCCTGGGAAAGTGAAGGCGGCTGGCATGATACTGACCATATCACCCATCTTGTGCCGATTGGTCTATAAAAATATAGGTCTAGCCCTATATGCCCTATGCGCCTTAAGGCGGGGAAAAGGGTCCTTTACTTTACTTTACTTACGTTACTTCTGAATTGCCTCAAGATTTCATAATGCTTATTGCAGTTTACCTGCTGACTGAAATCAAGGCTTTTTTTTTATTATTCAGAAACCATGAGTTGTAAACCCTTTGGCCCAGTACTATGGATATATTGTCATTACAGATTCTGATAACTGGCAGGTGCCAAGCATTTTTATTGTCATGAATCCCTTTGGCATATTTGCATAGTGTGTAGACATGTTTTGTATGGATAAGTTTACTTGTAGAAAAACAAATTGGATATTAATAAGCCATGTTTATCATGATCAGAGGGAAGGAAAGCAGTAAATTCTTACTCCATTCATATGTGTGATTACTTCCCTTCCCATAAAAAAAAAAACGTTTGCCTAAAATATTGATCTGAAGTGGGTAAAAAAAAATACAATTGCTGTTTCTAGAGGATTGACTGCTGCCAAGAAGCAGTAACCTTTACACTTGCCAGTTTGCTTGGTAGTCTAGAGATTTGACTTCCTGGATTTTTATAAAAAAACTTACCAAAACACATTTGTTTCTACTTCTTCTTCTCTTCCTCTAATTTTTTTAGTGTAGAGTCTCAGAGAATTATAAGAGCATGTTTATTGTTGTTTCAAAAGCAATATCCTTACGTCCTTTTTAGGACGGAATTTTTTGTTATTTGAAGCCCACTCTGGCTTTTGCAATATAGACAGGCCATAAATATGGCCAATTGTGTGAACGCGGTTTCTGGGACCTCTTCACGGCGATCCTCATCCACATGGTGGCACTTTGTGTGATGTCCTAGTGGGGTAGAAAGTCAGTCAGTCATAAAAGCGTGTTTCTATTTAACAAAATTTTGGTGAAGATAATTTTATTTAAAAAAGATTGTTACAGGTGAAACAGTTAACCCAAATAATTGTTGTCTCCTGCAGCTCTGTGGTCAGCATGCAGGATCTCGAGTCTGCCCTTCACTACAGCCTGCGGCAGGAGGTGGCCCTCAAGAAACACATCGACGGGGACACGTTTCTGGCTCTGCAGACATTTCTGGACACCCTGGTTAAGGTATCTATGTTTTGTGATTTCTTCTACTTCTGTAGACTTCAGCAGAAAGTTCTCGTTGTTAGTCCCACCTCAAGACTTTAGTCTTGTTCCAGAACCTCAGTGTTGCTTGCAATCCGTTTTACAAATCTGACTTTATTGAATGCAGATTGTTGGTTCCTTACCTCTTAAGCATATGCAATTCAAAGGAAACATCTCTAATTTGTTGACTCTTATGATATGCTTGTTGAAGAGATGGTGGGTCTGTTCTTGTTTTCCCCACAATGGAGCCCCGGAACCCACACAGGGGGTTTTGAACTATAGTTCTTGAATAAATTGGCAGTTTTGCCTTGCCGTAAAACTTTTTCTTCTCTTCCACCATTTACCTCAGGGAGGTGTTTGGGGGGAGACTTTTTCCAATGCATTGTACAAGCTGGTGTTCATTTCTGTTAGGTTGCTCCTGATGATGTCGCTCCATGTCTTGCATGGTCTTCCCCTTGCTCTGTGTTTATTATATTTCTTCAGCGTGGCTCTTTGTGGCAGTTGGTACCAGGGCATTCTCGTGAAATGTCAGTGACGTGAGTTCCAACCGGCTGAAAAATCCAGAGTTCAAGTTTTAAAAAAATTTTTGGGCTAATCAAGGTTGAATACCTGTAAATAATACATGTACATCATTGCTGGGACAAAAGTTTTGTTTATGTTAACTGTGTGTCTTAAATAATAATGTTAATGAGGTTTTATTGTATTTGATGAGATGTATTTCTCTCTTTTAGTTTGTATAAATTGCTGTAGGTATTATTCTATTTTTATATGACTAAGGGGTTATTTGAAAATGGAAACAAAAGAATCAGTGATATGAAAAATGGGTATTACCTGAACAAAGCAGAACAAACGAGTTTGATTATTGGTAAAAAAAAATTATTTGAAAATACAATCTGGATACAACAGTGTAAAATGTATATTGATGAAAAAAGTTAGTTGTGTATCCTTTAAAGGCTGTTGCAGAACCAACCCCAGCATTTCTTATGTGTGGCTGTTGTGGTTTTTCTAGGCAAATTTTTACATTAAGTAGTTTGCCATTGCTTCTGAACTGTCAGCTCTCGGTACCACTGTCAAAAAACATTGCAAGACAAACCGTCCACAGCTGGGATTGAACCCAGCATTACGAAGGTCATTTGCAACACGAAGCCACAGACGTTGATAAGGAGATTATTGAAAAAATGTCTTCTTCTTGTTCACTGGCTGTAAACTCAGTAGGAAAGTTGTAGTTGTTTGTCCACTTCTTTACTTTAGTATTGTTCCAGACCCTGAGGTTTGTGAGCACACCCGTTTTTACAGATCTGGCTTATTTGTATGCAGACTGTTGGTTCCTCGCCTTTTAGGCAGATGCACTCTGTCTTCTCTGAAATATCCCTAATTAGTTGACTCTTATGGCATGGGGCTAGTAGGTCTGTTCTTTTTCCCCCACAATAGGGCCCCACGACCCACATGGGGAAGTTGAAAAATTATATTAGCTGGCGTAAGGGAAAACACAAAAATAGGATGCAGATTACCGCTAAGTGAAAGCGACTTCCAGTCATGAGTGTTTACAAATATTAGCTCCAGCCACTCGCCTTTTCTTCTCCTTTTTGTCCACTTTCTCTTTTACTGCTTTAGGCATCAGTCTTTTACTGCTTTAGGCATCGGTGACCGGGTTGCCCATTGGCTCCCAGGTGGACGACTTCATCGACGGTCAGGACGGTATTTGATTCTGTCTTCTTTGATCGCATCAACACTGCAGGAGTTTTTTTCAGGGCTCTTGGTGGCGTGCAGGCTAAGCCATTTTATAAGACGCACATAACCTAGTCACAATTATAACCTAGAGCTCTCCCCTCAGGGATGCTGAGTGGACATGATGCCTTTTTTGGTTCCACCAAAGCCCATATTTACCTACTGCTTTGGGATTTTGAGGAAGATATAATGTTCTGCTTCGTGCTCGTCTGGCTGCCTGGACCATAGACAGATCGTGCTGGTGTAGAGTTTCTCTGATGTTATCTTTCCCTATTGTTCTTGGTCTGCCCCATGATCTGTGTCCTTCTCTTGTGTATGCTGTGTATGTATGGCGTCACAGGCATTCTCTCAAAGTGTACGGTGATGTTTATTAGTGGATTGCTGTATTTAGTTTGTTAAGATAGTTATTATTGGTTGGATTTTTTTGAATTTCAGTATTTCCCTGGCAGAAAACCAATCCTTGGCTTTCTAGTCAAAACGAGAGACATGTTGAGAAGTCTCGGTAAAAATAACATAACCGGAGAAGAGTGGATGAACAAAATTGACAGTCTGCAGGTATTTGGAATTTGTTTACTAAAGTTAATTGTTTTATTTGTTTAGTAAAATTATGAATTATAATATGGAATTTGTTAATATAGTTTTAAATTGTTATGTGGAATTTGTTTAGTAAAGTTATGAAATATTTGGAATTTGTTTAGGAAAGTTATGGATTATTATCTGCAGTATGTTAAGTAAAGTTATAATTGTAATTTACATGAGTTTAGTGAAGTTATGAATTGTTTTTTATAGTTTGCTTTGTAAAGTTTTTCCATTGCTATTCGGAATTTGTTTAGTTAAGGATTTTGATTTGTTATTTAGAATCTGTTAGGTAAAGTTTTGGTGCGAGACGAATATACAATCAGACAGTTACTGGTGCCATCAGAATTGGAACTCTTCATTTGCTGCTGAAGAAGTGGAGTGTCATGAGTGCTGTGACATCGATTCCTTAATTCAACATTTATTCATAGTAAAGTTGAGAATTGTTATTTTCTTATCTTTCACTTTGGTAAATTCCATAAATTGGGTTTAAGGGTCCTATCAGTGTATGTAGCTGCGGTCAAAATGAGACTTACTTTAAAAATTAAAAAAACGCACCTCATAGATTATTGTGTGTGTTTTTATTTTGTATATTCTACTTGTGTGTGTGTTTTGTTGTTTTACAGGATAGAGACAATTACCTACCTGCAGTTATCAAGTGGGAGTTCTGCCATGGAAGCTCCCCACTTTACCGAGGCTACCCCTGCAGCATGTGGGTCTTGTTCCACACACTGACAGTTTCTGCCTACAATCAGAACACAGGAACTAGTGAGTCATTACTGACACTGTCTCTTTTTTATTGTTCATTTAAAACTTTTATAATCAAAATACAAAGGAACTTAAAAGACGAGGATCCCCATGTAGATTCTGGGGTCAGAATTTGGGAGAAAATGAACAGACCCACCGCGCCTTAACAAGCGTGTCCTAAAAGGCAACTAATTAGGAGTTTTGCTGCAGTCAGATTGTGTGGTCAAAATGTGCAGATATCACTGCCTAACTGTACAGCACAATACTTTGTGCCTGTTGCTCTTTTATGGGTGAATGCAGAAGGAAAGACGATGAAGGTATTGAAAAAGAGAAGACTAAACAGAAATGGCTGAGAATTAAAATTTGACTTGCAAAGAAGGCACAAAAAGTGTCCCAACAAGTGTGCCTAGGAGCTGCTTCGCGGGAGAAAAACGAAAATATTGATATGTTTGATCTAGTGTTTTCCCATTGTAAATTTAAATAACGCTGCCACGAACAGTACGTGCACAAAGTATTGCCTGGCATAATTCTCTGCATCTCGTCGGATGTATTACAGTAGAGTTGCATAGTTGTAACCAGTTTACTTCTTCAGATCTAAGAAACACATTACAGTAGAACCTCGCTTAACGAGCACCTCTCATAACGAGTAATTCACATAACGAGCAAAACAAATTGTAAAAAAAAATGACTTGCTTAACTAGCGAGGTTTCACATATCGAGTGGTGAGGAGAGGGGAAGTCCCTGATTGTGCACATGTTACATCAGTCTGTGTCTAGCACTCGTTCTAGTAGCATCGTAGTGTCGCTTGTGATCACACATTTTTTCAAACTTGTGTTATATTGGTGATATATGTACATGAATCCTCCAGGCCTACAAGATGACCTCCCTGAAGAATTTAAGTTCATCAAGATCTAGTTTCTACCTCCCAACACACTCCATTACTCCAGCCAATGGACCAGCAAGTTATTTCTAACTTTAAGAAGCTCAACACTAACGCACTCTTCGAGCATTGTTTTCAGGTGACTGAAGGGACCAGCCTCACTCTTAAAGAGTTTTGGAAATATCACATCGTTGCCTGCCTCAAGATGATCGACAAGGCGGGGGAAGGGGTTACCAAGAGAACCCTAACTTCTGCTTGGAAGAAGTTTTGGCCGGAGAGCGTTGTCGATTTGTGACTTTGATGGGTTCGAAACAGTACCTGTGAAACCTGTAGTCAACGAGATTTTGTCTTTGGCCACTATCATGGGATTATAGGTGGATAACAGTGATTTTGAAGAGCTTGTGGAAGAGCACAGCCAAGAGCTGACCACCCAAGAGCTTATGGAGTTGAATTGTGTTTCACAGCAAGAAGTTTGGAGGAAAGTTTGTCAGAGGAGGAGGTAACAGAAAAGCAACAATCTTCTGGCGAAATAAGAGAAATGCTGAAAGCATGGCAAACTGTTGCATCTTACATTGAGAAGCATCACCCTAATAATGAAGAGGCTATGCACGTTGCAAATTTATTTAATGATAATGCTGTGTCATATTTTTGCCAAATTTTGAAGCGTCGGCAAAAACAAATGTCTCTGGACATCTCTCTATTGAAAAAATAATTAGCAATGGATCATAATTATTTAGACTTTTTGTGTGTTTGCAAATAAAATTTGCATTCCAGGTGGGTTCGTTCCACATTTGAAGAAAAGATGAAGATGATTCACTCTCCTTAACAATATGTATATAATTTTCTTTGAATAAACATTATACATAGCATTTTGTGAGTATTTTTTCGACCTAGAACGCATTACCGTATTTGACATTAATGTATATGAGAAAAATTGTATCGCATAATGAGTGTTTCGCTTAACGAGTATAATTCTGGAACGAATTATGCTTGTTAAACGAGGTTCCACTGTATGTGTGTTTAATGCCTTCTGGTAAATCTTAACCGCCACTGAGTGTTCTTTTTTTTAACTATCTAAATTTGGCAGTGGATATGGAAAAAAATCTGGCTTTTTCACTGGCCACTTTAACTGTGTACTAGGCTTGCTGAAAACGGAGGGGGGGGGGGGGGGAAGAATGAGGATGTTGTTAATTGGGGGGGGGGGGGGAGGTTTGTTGTTCTTTGTTTTGTTCTTGAAAGAATCAGTGATTCTCCACAGTCACTATTTGTCCTTGTGGATCTTTTACAAAACTTTTTGAGATTGAAAAAGGTTAGAAAATGTGGAACTGAAAAAAAAAATTGCAGTTCATGTTTATGTGTGTGTTCAATGTCCAATAGTAACAAATTTGTTTCATTTTATTTTAGGGCATGGAAATCCCCAGGAAGTCCTCCTGGCCATACGCAGCTACATGAAACACTTCTTTGGCTGCCAAGAATGTTCCAAGAATTTTGTATCGATGGCGCAGTCCGTTGAGGGAGAGGTGCATAACTACAAGGACTCCGTTATCTGGCTGTGGAGTGCTCACAATAAAGCGAACAAACGATTGCATGGAGATTTATCGGAGGATCCAGAACATCCGAAAATTGAGTTCCCATCCGAGAAAATGTGTCTGCAATGTCGCATCAAAACATCTACAGATGCAGAGACACAAGTATCCTGGCATATGGAGAAAGTGCTAGAATTTTTGGTTAGCTTTTATTCTGAGAAAAATATTGTGCCTTCACAAAATCTTGTTTCTGATGAAGTTTCAGCCAATTCGCTAGAAAAGAGAGAAGTTGATTGGTGGGAGAGTAAATTGCAAGAGCAGGATCTGAAACAGATCAGATGGTTGCGGGAAAAGAAGCAGAAACAAATTCAGGAAATGAACCAGAGAATTTATAATAAAAAGGATTCCAATTATTCTGCACGACTCGAGGAAAATCATGTCTTTAGTCTGTGGGGATTGACACATCTAGATTTTAGTTTATGTTTAATATTTTATTTGTTAAGTACTGTGATTATACTGTCAATGTACCATCACTTTATTGTGAGGCGACGAATGGTGACTTGTAGAAATATCATGTCTTAGCTGCTTTACTGATGACATGGGTTGAGGATCACAGCAAAGGTGTAAGAGACAAAGATAGTCGAGTTAGAATTAGAATACAGTTGTGGCCAGAAGTTTAAGACCACCCAGTAAAATATTGATATTTTCATACTATCATGGATTGTGTCTTTTCTTTGTTCTGCGACCCCATTCGGAGACTAATTACTTAGATATTTACTGTCTGTAGCACAGTGTAACACTGTTATCTGGAAAGGTTCTAACAGCATATTTTTTGTGCGTCAATCCCAGCCCTGACTTAAGTAGCCTCTTGTGACATGCATGGTAAGATGCATTGGAACTCTTGTTTGCTTCATCCGAGGGCCATTTTGCCATACATGTGTTAGCTTTCCCTAAGGGTGCTTGTAACATGGCTGGGTACAGGCAGTAGCATAAACAGGGTCATCGAGACTGGTTGGCCAGGATTTTAAACTTATACAAAAAAAAAGAAGTATTAAATGGATATGCATGTGTGGCATTTCTAATGTTCAGACTAGTTTTTTTTTTTTCTTATGTTAAGGCTTTAGTACGCTTTGATATGGAAGCCATTTATCGCTCTGGTTTCCTTCGAGGTCAGAATTCATCTGCTGAGAGGTCAGGGGCCAACAGTCAGCATCAAAATAAGATCAGTAAAACGGATGTGCACACAACACTCAGATTCTATAGCACAACTGGAGTCCAGACATGGACAAAGAACCAGGACTTTCAGTCGAAGTTTAACAGCCGGTTAATGTGAAGAAGATAGTTCTGGTGATGTCTAGATGGTATTCAATCTCCTGACAGGACTTGTAACTCGTATCGAGAGTTAACATTGCAACTGCTGCAGCTAACCGTTTCTAAAAAGGTGCTGGATGTTTCCTTATATTCTCAGTGCCGTTTCAAGCCTCACAAGGTCATACGAAACTATGAACTTTTTGTAAATATTTTAAGGCACCCCTCATGTAAAGCCAATAAATACTTCTTTGAGCATAATAGTTTAAAATCCTGGCAATCATTCTCAATGACCTTGTACTTTTGTTGGGATTTCTAATTGCGGCATGTAAAAAATGCGGTATATGGAAATGCCAGACAACAGGAACAAACTCTGTACACAGAAGAGTTGAATGGGAGTAGACCAAAAAGACTGGGATGAAATAATATTCAGGTAGACCTACAAACTCTTGAAGTCACCAGATTCAGCGAGAGGGCCAAGCTGAGAAATGAATGGAGGCAGGTGAGCAGTGAATGGAGGCAGGTGAGCAGTGAATGGAGGCAGGTGAGCAGTGAATGGAGGCAGGTGAGCAGTGAATGGAGGCAGGTGAGCAGTGAATGGAGGCGGGTGAGCAGTGAATGGAGGCGGGTGAGCAGTGAATGAAGGCGGGGTGAGCAGTGAATGGAGGCGGGGTGAGCAGTGAATGTGAATGGATGGGTGAGCAGTGAATGGAGGCGGGTGAGCAGTGAATGAATCAGGTGAGCAGTGAATGGAGGCGGGTGAGCAGTGAGGAGGCGGGTGAAGTGAATGGAGGCAGCATGTGAGCAGTGAATGGAGGCAGTGAGCAGTGAATGGAGGCGGGTGAGCAGTGAATGGAGGCGGGTGAGCAGTGAATGGAGGCGGGTGAGGCAGTGAAGTGAATGGCGGGGTGACCAGTGAATGGAGGCGGGTGAGCAGTGAATGGAGGCGGGTGAGCAGTGAATGGAGGTGGGTGAGCAGTGAATGGAGGCGGGTGAGCAGTTAATGGAGGTGGGTGAGCAGTGAATGGAGGCGGGTGAGCAGTGAATGGAGGCAGGTGAGCAGTGAATGGAGGCTGGTGACCAGTGAATGGAGGCTGGTGAGCAGTGAATGGAGGTGAGTGAGCAGTGAATGGAGGCTGGTGACCAGTGAATAGAGGCGGGTGAGCAGTGAATGGAGGTGGGTGAGCAGTGAATGGAGGCGGGTGAGCAGTGAATGGAATCAGGTGAGCAGTAAATGGAGGCGGGTGAGCAGTGAATGGAGGCGGGTGAGCAGTGAATGGAGGCGGGTGAGCAGTGAATGGAGGCGGGTGAGCAGTGAATGGAGGCGGGTGAGCAGTGAATGGAGGCAGGTGAGCAGTGAATGGAGGCTGGTGACCAGTGAATGGAAGCGGGTGAGCAGTGAATGGAGGCGGGTGAGCAGTGAATGGAGGCGGGTGAGCAGTGAATGAAGGCAGGTGAGCAGTGAATGGAGGCGGGTGAGCAGTGAATGGAGGCGGGTGAGCAGTGAATGGAGACGGGTGAGCAGTGAATGGAGGCAGGTGAGCAGTGAATGGATGCATGGGTGAGCAGTGAATGGAGGCGGGTGAGCAGTGAATGGATGCATGGGTGAGCAGTGAATGGAGGCAGGTGAGCAGTGAATGGATGCATGGGTTAGCAGTGAATGGAGGCGGGTGAGCAGTGAATGGAGGCGGGTGAGCAGTGAATGGAGGCGGGTGAGCAGTGAATGGAGGCAGGTGAGCAGTGAATGGAGGCGGGTGAGCAGTGAATGGAGGCGGGTGAGCAGTGAATGGAGGCGTTTGAGCAGTGAATGGAGACGGGTGAGCAGTGAATGGAGGCGGGTGTGCAATGAATCTCAAGGGCTTGGAATGCTAAAGAAGAAGTTTCTACTTATACAGCAGGATTGAGGGGAAGCACCGTAAATATTAAAAAGTCCTTTCCATGAAACTCACAGGGTAAAGGAAATAGAGAGAGGCTTTAAAATACCCGGGAAAAGATAATAAAAAAACCAGAAATTAATAATGGGAAGAGGAACTTCAGAAGACAAGAAAGGAGAGAATGAGTTGGATATGGGTCTTTGTTCCATTGGGTAATACAAAGCAGAAGATACCAAGGAGTTAGTTTTTAAGTGATATTTTGTTCTTCTGCAAATGCAACTTTATTAGGTCTGTATTTTTATATTGACATATGTTTCATGTGGTCAATTGCTTTATGATTTTGATATCTATCTTTAAAAAAAAGTGCAGATTTTATGCCAATAATTTAAAAGCTTGTTTAATCTCCTGACAAAAGTACAGCTGGGTGCAGTGGTGATCTTTGCCTGAGTAAATACGGCAAGATGTTTTGTAGACATCCAACAGATCATTGAATATTGTCATAAATATCTTCATCAGTAAAGCAGTCAAGGCTAACTAAACAGAATGTGAGAAAATACAACATTGAGGTTTATACAGTGTTGACACATAGACAGACAGACATACAGCCACCTGTCTGTGGGAGGGAAAAGAATTAGACCCACAGCCCCTCTCTTATTGTAAGAGACTAATCAGGTTGATTTGTTTTCCTTTAAAGGAGTGCATCTGCTTGATATGGAAGAACCAACAATCTGCATATAAATAAGCCAGATTTCAGTTATGAACGTGCACACAAAGCTCAAGTTTTAGAGCAAGACTAAAATCCACAAGTGGATGAACAGCCATACATTTTTTGGGGTTAATGGCTGGTGAGATGAAGATAAACACTCGGTTAACATAACGCAAATCTCCCCAAATAGAGAAGGTCACTTTTCATTCACAAGTTTGTTGGGCTGGTCGACTTTCCTGAAGGTTACAGTGGTGTCCTGCTCTATTGTTTGCTTTCTGTGTTGTCTTGCATTTACGTTTTTATTCCTAGAAAGAGAATGCCTGTGACATAGGTTACTGCACTCTCTGGGGGAGGGGGGTTGTGTATGTTGCTGTATGTTTTTGGAGCGTTAAAAGCTCTGGGGTGCTGAAATATACAACACGCGAAATCAACGGTATTGCGGAACACTCCTCTGACTTTGCGTGAAGGTCACGAGGCTCAGGAACTGCCAATCAGAAGTGACCTAGTATGTATATAGGCGAGGCGTGGGGAGTGTAACGTTACATGTTCCAAACACTCTAGTTCCTACATGTTGGGATTTGTTTGGCCTACACCTCTACCTTTGTTAAACCTATTTTTCGCCATGAAACAGGAAACTAAGAACTCAAATTCAGGTGGATCTCAACAGTAATAATAATACTAGTGTAAGTGTAATAAATTTGGGGGCGCGGGCATATTGTCAGTGTTGAGATAAGTAAATGACAGATGACCATCTAGCCGCTACACTGCAGTGGCTTCACCCAGATGCCAATCGTTATTCTTATTCTTCCCATTACCTAGTTTTATTTTGTTGATTGATATGTACCTGTAATGTTGAGCTGCCTTATATTCTGATTCGTAAATAATTGTAACCATTCATCATGTGTCATTTTCCATTCTTTGTTTCTGTTAAGATTGCCTGATCATTTTGATCTATATCATACATTGCTTTAATTTTTGGTTTGGCTTTTCTTCTGCCATTTTGGAGAGAGAAGAGGAAGGTTTATATTGGCTGGTTGTTGATAAAAGACCAAGCTGCTGAAGTAATGTCATGGTTTTATCGTGCTTCTTTTGAGCTCTGCATTTTATGTTTGTATCTGTTTTTGTTTGCTATATTTATATTATCAGCGTCTGTGGCTTAGGTATTGCCAACACGCTTTGTAATTCCGGGGTGCAGGGTTCCATCACAGCTGGGGATGGTTTGTCTTGCATTGGTTTCGACAGTGGCACCGAGAGCTGACTGTTCAGAAGCCATGGCAAACTACTGAACATAAAAATGTGCTAAGAAAAATAACAACAGACCCAAACTAAATGCTGGGGTTGGTTCTGCAGTGTCTTATAAAGGATACACAGCATAACTGTATTTATAGTTTAGCACTTTAGTTCCTCAGTTTACCATGTATAGTAAATCTGATAGGAAATACCAGCATACATTTAGCACACACCAAGGGTGGTTATCAATGCCTCTTTAAAACGTGTCACAGAAAAAAGTACTTTATTATTATCCTACCCCAAACATGGGAAATCCACAGGTCCCGGGACAGACTAATATTTCAGGGAGTTGTAGATAGGCTGCATGCAGTCGTAGGACCTTGACTGCATGCTGTCGTGGGATATAGGCTGCATGCTGTCGTGGGACCTAGGCTGCACTCTCTAGTGGGATGTAGGTGGGTTAG